CTCCTCATGAGTCCCCGCTCTGCTTCAAGCACGTTAAGGTTTCAGAAGAACTCTGTGATCAAGTAACTGTTGTTCTAGAATAACATAACAAGGGTGCTTGGCACGGCGCTACTATCCCAGCCCTTCCATGAGAGGTGAAGGCCAGTTTAGAAGTTCAGGGTCATCTTGGCTGTACAGTGGCCTGTGGAGTAGCTCTAAACCACCCAGAAGCTGCCTTAAAGGTGAAAACCTAGTAGACCCCAAGGACAGGCAGGGTGCTGACTTCTGTACCTCTGTAAATTGGGGGCATGGGTTCAGGTTCAAGGTAGTTCACCATGTATTGCCAAGTTTCCTTGGCTGTACAATGGACACAGTGCCAATACGTTCCAGGAGACTTGCAGTGACAACCCAGTGAGTTCATATACACATGGGAAGGGGACACCGTTTGGGGACTACAAAATTTCTGAGAGGGATAGAAAGACAAATACACAAGCCATCCCCTCATCTCCCAGACCACCTGCATTGTGCCTTCAGTGCTCTGTGGTTCTTCATAGAGTCTTGGAACCTGGATTCTCTGCATCCAGGTGGGTGCTACAGAGTCTGGAGTGTGGAGGTGAAGCTAGATGGATGGATAAAGAAAATGTGATACGTTCACACAATGGAGTATTACTCAGCTGTGAAAAAATAGCATCATGAAATTTGTGAGCAAATGGATAGGATAGACCTAGAAAAATCATCCTGAGTGAGGTAACCCAGACCCAGAAAGACAAACATGGTATATATTAACTTAAAAGTGAATATTAGCCATTAAGTAAATGATAAGCAATCAACAGTCCATAGACTCAGAGAGGTTAGGTAAAGAGGAGGGCTCCAAATGGGATGCTTAGATCTCCCAGGGAAGGAGAAATAGAATAGATCTTGTGGGTGGACAGTTGGAGTTGGAAGTGGGAGAGATGGGGGTGGGTGGGTGGATGGAGGGACGGAGGGAGAAAGAGACAAAAAGAGTTTGTGGAACTTGGTGGGCAGTGGGGAACCCAAGTCCAGTGGAAACTTCCTGGAATCTGTAAGGGTGTACCTAGTGAGGACTTCTCCCAGTGGGAGACACTGAGTCTGAACTGGCCATCTACGGTAGCCAAGCAAGACCCCCAGGGGTTTTTCTCTTTCTCAGAGTTGCAACAAAAATAATCCTGATGACGATTCCGTGGAGCCCTGTCCTGTAGTCAGCTTATCCAGAAACCATGAACTTGGGAATCAAAAGTTCTCTGACCACAGAAGAGAGAATGGAGATGGGATGGAACAGGTACCACAACAGTTAAAAGTGCCATTCTAGAAAAGAAGCCTCCACACTATAAGACTGAGAGAGAGGGATAAAGCCAGGGTCCTAATAGCCTAGCTAGGGGACCCTTCATCCTGATCCAGATAGCCAACCCCTCTACACTTACAGTTCTCTGGAACTCTCCATACAGAGGGTAAAGGTCAAGCCAGGCATGGGTGTGACCATCACAGAGAGGACCTGAGAAAACAGAGAACTTATAAGCATATCCTCCAGACTCCTCTTACTTTTACGCCCATGAAATTGTCTGCTCATTTATATGCAGGTTGTGTGGTTGTTTGGTTGATGGGTTGTTGTTTTAGCAGGTTGTTTTGTTGTTGTTGTGTATATGTGTGTGTTTATTTCTTATTATTGATTGATTGATTCATTCATTCATTCATTCATTCATACATTCACTTCAAAACAGAGTTTGTCTATGTAGACATGGCTGTCCTAAAACTCTCTTTGTAGACCAGATTGGCCAAGGACTCACAGAGATCTATTTTTCTGTGTTCCAGAGTGCTGGGATTTAGTGCATGGACCACCACTACCCAGCTAATTTCTGTTGTGAACAAGTCCCAAACCAAGCCCCCAGGTCTCACACTTAGTCCAGCCTGAAGAATGGCAAGTGCTTCCTGCCCAGGCAGGAGCAACTGTGGCCAGTGGGTAGTCTTGAGACAAGCACTCTCAACCCTAGAGTATCTGCCTGGGGAGGAAGAGATGGGACAGAATAATTTCCCCACCCAGAATTAAGCATTGGGAGCTGGTACCTGAGGGACTCCCTCCTTCTTGGTTTCCATTCACTTCTGTCAGTGCCTGTGCAGCTGCTGAAATTCCAGTCTCTTCTGCAAACACATAGTATGGCAGCCTGTGTGAGAGATGCTGAGAGAAACCACCAGTTAGAACCAGCCTGAGTTAATCAAAAAGACCACGCAAAAAGTTCACAAATAAAGAAAGAAAAAGGCCAAAACATGAATGGCTGAACATCTGGATTTGCTTCTGTAATCTTTACCTCTGAGAAAGGGCAAATTCGGAAGAGAACTCTTTGGGGCTTAGCTTCAGCTCGATTCTGAATTACAGGCCAATCCTGGGCTATCTAATGTCACCATGTTGCAAAAACTGAAAATCCAGTAGAAGACTGTGTTCCCAGCCCCGGGGAGACAGAGGGAGGGGGACCAGCCGAAGTTCAAGACTACCTTGAGATGGACAGTTGAGCTCCAGGATAGTCTGGCCTCAGAGAGATTGTGGGTCATTACAAGTAAAAGAAGGGTTGTGGGGGCCAAGACATAAGAGAGAATGAAGGAAGGGAAATCAACCAAGGTGTGGGCAGGATGATGGATGCCCTGAATCCCTGCTCTTCTTATATACAGGCTGGAGCATAGGGTCTTCACCATCATATTTGGATTGATGGTAAGTCTGAGGCCAGCGTAGGCTGCATTACACTCTCTTCAAGTACTGGAATAAATAAGAGTAAGATATGTTCTCCAGGTCAAATGCCCATAATAGTAGAGTGAGGAGGAGCTCAGTCAAGGGTAGCCAGTGCTGCACACAGAGAATTTGTGTCCAAAGGAAGACAATTACAAAAGAAGAGACATTGAAAGCTCCTCATAATACCTATAACCACAATGCAGGACAGTCAGGCAGAGTAGGTTTGAGGCCATCTGGCCTACAATTGGAGTTCAAGACCAACAATGCATCATACCCGAGACCCTCCATTTAAAAAGACAAAACCAAGCCGGGCGTTGGTGGCCCACGCCTTTATTCGCAGCACTCGGGAGGCAGAGCCAGGTGGATCTCTGTGAGTTTGAGGCCAGCCTGGGCTACCAAGTGAGTTCCAGGAAAGGCGCAAACTACACGGAGAAACCCTGTCTCAAAAAACAAAAACAACAACAAAACAACAACAATAAAAAAAAAAGAGACAACACCGCCTGTTGAGGCTGAGATCTGGACTTCCAGCTCTCAGATGTTAGAGTTGAGGGGATCATTCGGTGTTGGAGACCAGACAGGACTGCCCATCAAGCTCAAGCCTAGCCTGAGATGAGGACCCAATCCCAGTCTTGCTGTGTCCAATGAACAGAAGCAGCAGCAAGGAAATCAACAGGAACAAAGACAGCAGCCCCAGCTGTCCTGCACTCAGTGGTCAAAGGCTGGTTTCTATGGATGCTACAGCTATGGGCCTGTAACCAGTCATCAAATCATAGCCTACTTTCTTTCCTGTAAACTGAAAACACAGAACCATCCCCTCCACCCATGTGGCATGGAAGGGGAAGTGTGGCCATATCACTGGAGGCAGGAAAATTGCATGAAAGATGGACGTTACTGTCCATGAAAGTTCTTCAGAGTTAGGCAGAGTGTCTCAGGCTGTGACCTTTGTTGTATGAATTTTGTTTTTTGTGGTGACAAATAAAGCTTGCCTAGAGGTCAGAGAGCAAAGCTAGCCACTACTTAACCATAGAGACCAGGCCTGGTGGCACACTTGTTTAATCCCAGCACTTTAGAGGCAGAAGCAGGAAGAACATGAGTTCAAGCCTGCCCTGGGCTTCACAAATTGAATCAGTCTACAAGAGAAATACAGCCTGATGATGGTGGCTCAACACTTTGATCCCAGCACTTGGGAGGCTCAAGCCTTTGAGCCAAGCACATGGAAATCTCATACCTTGACTCCAAGGACTAGGGAACTGGAGACAGGAATGTAAGGTGAGTGGAGACAGGATCTTGGGTTCCCCCTTCAGTCTGCAGATTCCTAGAGACAGGATATCCCCCGTTCGGTCTGAGATTGCACAGAGGTAAGTTTTCTCTAGTGGCTGGCTGCTCTGCTTCTCTGATCTTTCAGGCAGGCTTTATTTGTCAGAGCAAAAACAAAAGATCATACAACAGACCTCAGTACTCTGGTTAGCATAATTGTGAGAACCAAGTGCAAGGTGGAGGCCACCCTGGCCCACAAAATAAATGCCAGGCCATCTAGGGCTACCTGTAAGACCCTGTTTCAAAAACCATGGCAATGCAGCCATCCTCACAAAAAGACCCCAGAGTGGGCTTTTCCCTCTCACCTGCATGTTTCCTCCTGGGCTTCCTCCCCTTCCACAGAGTCGGGGAACCAGAACTCTCTGTGTCCTGATGGGTGTAGCAGAGCCTGGAGTGTGGAGAGGAGAGCTGCCTTCACTCCTCTGGCTTCTGGAAGTCTGAGACCATGTGGAGATCCATCTCCATATATAGTTCTTGGGTGTGAGTGAATCAGACCCACCCCACATAGGTGTGTGCTGTGGATCTAAACAGGATTAACAATAAGGTCTGGGGATTTTCCAAAATTGCTGTAGAGTCTGGGCTACTGAGAGAAAGCCTATAATAATTTTTTTTTTTATTTTTTTTATTTTTATTTTTATTTTTTATTTTTTGGTTTTTCGAGACAGGGTTTCTCTGTGTAGCTTTGCGCCTCTCCTGGAACTCACTTGGTAGCCCAGGCTGGCCTCGAACTCACAAAGATCCGCCTGGCTCTGCCTCCCGAGTGCTGGGATTAAAGGCATGCGCCACCACCACCCGGCTCTATAATAATTTTAAAATAACAAAAATCCAAAGACTTTAAAAAAAACTAGAAAATAATCAGTGACTTTATCAGGTTTGCTGAGCCCCTTCAAATAGGCTAAAATTTCACAGAGCAACTGAGAGGGAAAATGTTTAAACTCTCATGTTAACCTAATAATCACTCTAGCAAACGGTTGTGATGAAAATTTATCTGTGTCCCCCAATAAAATTGACCTGAGAATCAGAGTATGAAGGTCAGTCACTATTCGTAAAAACAGAAGTCATGCAATGTTAGCACACGTCCTTAATCCTTCTGGATCTCTGTGTGTTCAAGGCCATACTAGGGAACATACCCAAGCTTGGTGACACAGGCCTTTAATCCCAGTACCAACCATAGAGACCTGGAGGTCTATACAGACAGGCAGTGGCAAGGAAGTGAGGTAGCTGGGCTAAGATCCTGAATGTGAGGGCAGAACAGCAAAGCAATAAAGGCACCGGTAAGACAGGAAGTAACTAGTGCTTTGGAAGCTGCAGAGTGGTGCGGTAATGTTAGCTGCTGGTTGTTCCGATTCCTCTAATCTCTCAGATTTTCATCCCTATGTCTGGCTCCATGGTTTTTCTTTAATAAGACCACTTCGAAATTCATCTACAAATTGTTATTAATGCACAGTAATTGGAGGCATGGACTGTGCTCAATGATTTGACTACAGTAGAAAAGAAAAGAAAAGAGGTAGGACAGCCTGTTGGATAGGAATGGTGGTGGCCTGAAGTGGTGTAGTAGGGTTGTAGTCATGGACATGTGCTTGCAACTAACTAGCGGGGCCTACCTCTTGTATTTGAAGATAAAGATGAAGGGAGGGAAGAACTTGAGTAAAAAGAGGTTGACTACAGCCGACTTGGGATGGAGGAAGCTCAAAAGAATGAAGAGGAAGAAGGTGATAATGGCCAGAGAAGCTAGGAGTCCTGCACAGGAATGGAGGAGGTGTAGTAAATCTCCAGGTCTCTGGAATAAACAGTTCCGGCACAAGAACCCTGTGCTGAAGTAGCATGATTTTTCAGAGTGGGTCGGGTTGCCTTAAGGGAACTGATTTTGGACTTGTTCAGAGTGGGCTATGACACACAGCAAGAGAAGCCGATTAGCTCGATTCTGGGAGAGTGGGGTGTCATGCTTATGATCTCCCTGTTTTTATGGCTGGCAGGTCCTCCCTATGATGCGGCTGATGACTTCTGCTTCCCATGAACACCCAACCTCCAATGGTTTTACGTCTCCCTGTACCAGCAGCCTTGGTATTATGGCATCCCTGTTCCTTCTGCAGAGCTACAAGGAAACCCATCACCTATGATGTCCAGAGAGGATTCCCTGGTTCCCAGATGAGAGCCCAGATGAGAGACAATCCACACCTTCTTCCTGTCTTTGTCCCAGGAGATGCCAGCATCTGGCAGCTGTGGTGAATCCACACCAGGTGAAGAAGAGAAAGAGAGAGCAATGGGACAGGGCAGGAGTCCTTCAACACTCAAAGCTTTTCTTTACTCACGTACTAACTTAGCAATACAGGAGCCCCTAACCCTAACAAAGAGGGCCACCAGCTATGGAACAACGATGAAGAATGAGAGACCATGAGACACAGAATGAAACCACCAGCTTGTGTTCCTTTTCTTTCCTAAAAGTATTTCCTGATATAAGAATGAGTCTCTGAGTTTTTTCTCCATTGCATTCATAAGCCACTGTCTTTGTGTGTCCGATACCACCCAGCATCATCCTGGCTCCATCCAGTTTGCATTGCACTGTGGAGAAACTGAGGCTGTGAGACATTGAACAGGAATGACCAAGGATGAAAATGGCAGGAGCACAGGTCTATGGAAGTAGAGGTTGCCCTGGTGAGAGAGGAGACCCCATGCCAGGAGTCAGATGGAGAGAGATGGGAGAGGGCAAGTCACAAGGGTATGAACCTCAGATAACAATCCGTAGCCCCTGTTTACTTAGGGACCCCACTGAAGAGACAAGGACAAGTCAGGAGATCATTACTTCAGGGACATTTATTGACTTTATTGATTTTTTTTCATTGTGCTCTCTTAGGAGGTAGAAAAAGAAGCCTAAACCAACAATGCTGCATGGTCCTGAGGTTTTCAGAGGAGAAACAAGGAAACTCCACTAGTCTTCATCGAGAATCTGGGTGTTAATCAGACGTTGACCACGGATGCTGATGCTGGAGGCCCCAGAGTCCTGGATCACAGGCAGGAAGTAGGTGTGGAACTGAGGACAGACAGCAGTGCTTCTGGGTCTCCCATCTGAGAAACGGGGAATCTCCCTGGGACATCACAGGCAATGGGTTCTCTTGAAGCTGTGCAGAAGAACCAGGGATGCTATGAGCCCCAGGCCAGTCCCCGGAAGGTTGAGGGTTCTTGGGAGGCAGGTGATTTCCAAACCCATAATGGTAGAGAGGATCTGAGAAGGAGAAGAAACAGAGAGTTCATAAGCATGGCACCTTCACTCTCCCAGAATTATGCTAAGCTGTGGTCTGTCTGTCCTGTTATCTTGATCCATCCCGAATATGTCTAATTTCCACTCCCCTGGGGTGACAGAGGAAGGTAGACAAACAGAGAGGACAGGTGTTTGTGTTCCCTGTGTGCAATAGTGGCCCCTGCGAATGGGGATTCCCTCCAGGCTGTTCTCTGATCTATGCTCATGAAGGGCAGTCCAGCTGATGCTGTCCTCTAGAGGATTTGGCAGGAGAATACAGCCCAGGATGCTGTACAGGTCTTCTGAAAAAGGAGAAAACAAGGGTATGGTGTCTCCTCTCCCATTGCAGTCTCCTGTGCAGATTCTGCAGGGTCAGCAGCAGGTCCACACAGCTTTTCCAGCTCTTCTTCAGGTCCCGATGCCCATTGAGTCGCTGGTAAAGAGCCCAGTTCTTCTGGTAGATCTTGCTGCCTGGGTGCCCATTGATCCTTTCTACTACTTTCCACTCCTGCAGGAAGATCCTGATTTCAGAGTCAGACCATGGATGTCTACAGGAAGGACCTACAAGGGAAGGAGTGAGGTGATGAGTGCCTTTGATGCCATGCACAGGCACATCTCAACTTTTCTAAGTTCCATCCTGCACACTGACAGAAGCCAGAAGTGGTCTCATTCAGTTCTCAAGAGATCAGGAACACTTGTTCATTTTATTATGTTACCTGGAGATCATTCTTGTGATATTTGGTGAAGAATGAGACTGTGTTTTGCCCTTGTCCAAAGAGTCTGCCTGAGGCTAAAGTGAAGAGATTTGAATTAATTCTATCAGCAGAGGACATCTCAAAATAGACTAGTATTTACTTGTGTGGTTGTTAGTGTTCACTCTTAGGAAGATTTAAAATGAAATAGAGAAATAGCAAGTAAAAATAAAAAAAATGTCTAGGATGAGGAGAAAGTGGGCACCAGGAATTGAAATGGAACTAAGTGCTGTGTTCAAGGAGATAAACAGACTAAGAAATAGAATAAAAGGAGTGGCAACCTCTGGGGAAGATTCCACCTGTCTAGCAGTCCAACTTGTGAAAAGGAATTAAAGATCAGCTTTGATCCATGTGTGGTGGTTCATACCTTTATTCCTAGCACTCAGGAGACACTGGCTGTGGATCTCTAAATTCAAAGCCAGCCTAGTTTACAGAGCAAGTTCCACTCATGCTTAGGCAGTGAGGGAATCCATGGAAAACAGGAAGTTAATTAAGACGTAATTGAATGAGCGGAGCACATTCCAGCCCCATCAAGCAGCAGAACTTGGCAGCTTTGGCCATGTGGTTCTGGCTTTAGAGTCAAGGACAGAAGAAAGGGGTTATGGAATCTCCCTCCATGACTAAGGAAAGCAGCTGAGGTCAGGTGTGTGTCAGGGAGGTCCCTGCATGGAGGTCCAGAGAGGCCATTGTGTGAAGCTGTGAAGGTGAAACCTGGGTTGGAGGTGCCAGAGCTGCTAACAGAGTGGAAGCAGCAGGGGAGAAAGAAGTGTGTTGCAGTCAACAAAGCTGAAAGGAGTTGGAGATCTGAAGAGGGTTTTGATATCAGACATAAAGATGCAGAGTTTGGAGTTTGCCCAGCTGGTTTTCAGTCTTGCTTTGGCTCAGTATTATGGTGACATTTTATTTGTGCTGAAATGTGATTTTATTTGTGTGTTAATAAATAAAGTTGCCTGGGGATCAGAGTTAAAAGCAAGCCATTTAGCAAAAGTCCAGCAGTGGGGGCACATGCCCTTAATCTGATCACATGGCAGGCAGAGTCTCTGCATAGTCAAGGACACAGCCTAGCGGTGACCTGAACCTTTAATCCCAATGCGAACCATAGAAACCTAGAGGTCTGTATAGACAGGCAGTGATGAGGAAATCATGTGGTTGAGTTTAGAGCCAATGAAAAGGCAGAACAGAAAGGCAATAAAAAGACAGGTCACACAGGAGAAGGTCTCTCTCTCAGGGGATGGACAGCAGCAACTGGTAAACTAAAGGCTATTGGCTAGTGCTCTGATCTCTTGGGCTTTTAACTTGGTATTTGGCTCAATGTTTCTTATTTAATAAGACCATTTAGGATTTTGTCTACATTTGGCACCCCCATGGCAAGAATTCATTAAAAACCATTGGTAGCCTCACAGGCCAGGGGTTTTAAGCCCTGGCCGGGTCAGAGTTTATAGGCCTGAGGCTGGGAGCTTAAAACCAGTCTGACAGCACGTGGTCAGAGCTGCACTCGACCGCAGCTGCAGCAGCTACACGCAGCTGCAGCTGGAGCTTCTTGCAGCCAAATCACCAACTCATGTGATGGGAGCTTAAGGAAGCCGGAGCTCAGTCAAGAATCGTGGCTGGATTTCAGCTTTTAGCCAGAATGCGTAAGTCAATTAAGGTATCAGATATTTTAAAAGGAAAAACTATTTAAAAGAGAGAATTTTTCCACATTAAAAAAAATGGGTAATATTTGTATAGTAGAAGGAAATTAGTCTTTTTTTGATAAAACATTAGGCAGTCTGAAAATGGAACAATTACATGAGAGGATTAATGTTGATGGGATATATGTAACATCATTTATGTGTATTGTTAGTTTACTTTTCCTTATTTTACAATTTAAAAAGATAATCAATTTAAGTGCCAGGATAAAAGTTTTAGAAAAACCTGTTAAAATTAATTATAGAGAAATTCAGATTCAGACAGAAAAATTTAAGGGTGAAATTATTTCAGGATTGGATTATAAGGTTACAGAAAGAAAGCCTGTTTTCAAGCAATCAAACTTAATTTATCCGGTAACTGTACAGCAGTTCCTGATCAAGTGAATGTACAAACTAATTGGACTCCAGTTGAAATGTTAGATTTAAAAAGGTTTAAGGAGGCAATAATATCTTATGGCATGCATTCCCCATTTGTAAAGCAAATGTTAAACTCTGGGTCAACTTGTAATAGGATTATCCCTCAAGACTGGAAAGAACTTGTAACTGGTGTCCTGGAACACAGAGTACAGCTGCAGTGGCAGATGTGGTTCAGAGATGAGGCTAAAACCATAGAAAATCAGTGGAGGGCTAGAAGTGTGGAAATCTCCCAAGATCAGCTTCTTGGAGAAGGCCAATATGCGGAAATACAAAGAAAATGTTTATATGATAACCAAACCCCAATTCTATGTTAAATGGCTCCCATGAATGCATGGGACAGAATTGAGGAAGCAGGAAAGAAAACTGAGTCATTCACAAAAGTTATACAGGGCCCAAAAGAATCCTTTATGGATTTTTTACAAAGACTGACTTAAGCAGTAAATAGAATGGTCTCGAATTCAGAAGCTAGCCAGATAATAATCAAATCTTTGGCTTTTGAGAACACGAATGCAGCATGCAAGAGAATAATCAGGCCATTAAAGGCAAGATCTGCATCCTTGGAGGATTGGATTAGAGACATGATTAATGTTGAGTCTCATGGCCATGATGATACTGGATAGGAGAAGCAATTTCAAGAGGTTTGAGGAATGTCAGATGTTTTGGTTGTGGAAAGCAAGGACATTTGAAAAGGGTCTGTAAACAGGGCATTCCTAGAAATAATGTTTCTTCAAGGAATAATGGCAACAGAATGCCCCTTCCTTCTGGAGTATGCAGAAGGTGTGGTAAGGGTAAACATTGGACCAACAAATGCAAATCAGCAAGGGACAGACAAGGTAATCCTTTGCCTCTGTCCTCAGGAAACTCCCAGAGGGGCCTCAGGTAGTCCCTCACAGCACCAGTTCAGACCTTTTCTACCATCATGGAAGAAACCTCTACTCAGAGCAATTAAATAACCAAATGCCTATTGGAATAAACCAGGAGTAACGGAACAACTGAGACAGAGAGAACAGATTCAGGAGAAAAAAATAATTTTGGCAAACTTCTATAAATGAACAAA